TTAGTGAAGATCTTCTGTATGTATGTGGAGTGCAGGGCAGAGGCAGCGGGTAAGGAGAGGGCGGTGCCACTGAAATAGAGATAAGAGTCACGACAGTGCCTGGGCCACGGGAAGGGTGACAGGTGGGACAGAGAGGTAGTGTGCCCAGGACCCCTGGGCCAAAGGGCAGCCCTTCTCTTTCTCCCGCTGCTCTGGTGTCCTTCAAGCCTTCCGCGGCCGGCCAGCCTCTCGCTCTACCCAGAAGAAATCGAAAGTTTGTAGCTTGGTCTCCACTTCCATTTCTTAAGCAGCATGCTGGCCTAGAACATGAAACATTTGTCTGTGACGGACTCCCTATTCTTTTAGGTGAAACACTGGAGGCATTTTTCAACTTGAAACAAGCAGATTCTTCCTGAGAGCTACATGTGGGGGGAAAAAAATCATGATCCATGTAGTCACGGTCCTCCAAAGAGGCTCCGCCAGTTCTGTTGAGAATGACGCTGAGGATGAAGCACAAGGAGACAGAGATGAAGGAGCAGAGACTTCTGGGCAAGGGGAGGAGGGATGCATGTGCCTCGGGGGGAAACTGTGCCCTTGAGAATCGGGAAAGGATGTCCAATCCTAGGGTACTGTGTCCCCAACTGCCATCGCACTGCCTTCATGCTGTACAATTATTTACCTATTTTTTCCCTTTTAAATCAATTCCATTCCTGAGCTTAAAAAACATTTGTCTAAAATGGGAAAAATCATTCAGTAAATGGGGATATGCATCACTTATAATAAATATTTAAGGGGATTCACTTTTTAAAGCTTCCATAAAATAAATGAAAAGTTATTACATTCTAGCTAGGTAATATTGCTTGCCCAGGGCTATGAGCCTGAGAGCTGCTCTTTCTTGGCAAAGAAATATGAGAAGCAAGCATTAGACAGGTTTTGAAGGCATCCTAGTGCCAAATTCAGATTTTGCCTTCTAGATAATCAGATGGATTGAAATAACTTTTAAAAGAAAAAAAAAGGAATAAGCTTCTCTGCCATGAATTCATTGTTATTTAATTTTGAGTAGCATTGCTGACATCCACCCAACCTTTGGGTAGCTTGCCCCAGATTGGTGCTATAGAGAGGCGAGGAGAGTGCTTGACAATGAAGTAGCCTGAGCTACTTCTCAGAGGTCTAGTCTTCCTGGCTCATAGAATTCCCTGCACACGTTCAGAAAGCCAAGCAGGTAGACTGGAGGCATCCTTATTGGTGTTGAGCTCCTGGATAGAATGTTGTTGTGGGTAGGTGCTCAAGATAGCTCCAACCCACAGGAACAGAAGGAAACTATGCCCATAACTCTGCTATGTTTAAGGCCATTGTTGTGGCCAGTGCGTCCATCCATCTCATTGAGGGCCTTCTTTGTCGCTGCCCCTCCTCTTTACCCAGCATAATGTCCTTCTCCAGGGACAGGCCTCTCGGATAACATGTCTAAAATACGTGCCACGAAGCCTCACCATCCTTGCTTCTAAAGATCACCTGACTGTACTTTCTCCAAGACAGATTTGTTTGTTCTTCTGGCAGTCCCCTGGATGAGATAAGATGTACCAAAAATGTGGTCCACAGTAAGAGGAAAGCCGAGGAGTCTTGGGGCTCAGCCTACTCCTCTCTGAGAAGAGAGAGTTCGACAGAAGCAGATGAACCCAGAAGTCTTCATGGGACCAGGCATCATGGTCGTAGCCTTTGGTACATGGAGGCAATAGAAAACAGCACTTAGGAAACCTTATGTGCTGCTCGCATAGCAGCTGCATCTCCAGAGAAGGTCCAGTAGGCAATCCATCACGTTCCCATGCACTATACGTACAGTGACATGCACTGGGTCCATCCATCATTCCAGAGAATGTCGCTTAACAAGGCCTAGGGAGGAGTATTTCATATCACTTATTCATTAGTTTGTGAGATCTGACTTTCCAGGACACCACACAGGGTTTGAAGTCATTTGAAATGTTGTTTTTTTTTTAAAAAGGGGAAAAAAATCGAGATGACAACTTTCATCTTCCCACTGTTACCATGATGGGGATGTTGTTCTGATCTCGGCGCTTTCATCAAATTAATTGCCCGTTCCTTTGCAATGGCTTAGACACAAGGACAGAGATACTGTCTGGGAGTGCAGCCTGGCTTTGAATGGTAATGAGGACTGTATGCATACAATGGCAGGGCCTTCGGGGACCGGAAAGGTCCTGTGCTCCCAGGTTTGCTCACCCATCTAGGGCTGTAACTTAATTTAGAGTGTTTGCTAATCATGTTTGAAGAAGGTATTAGGAAAAAGTAGAACTTCGAAGACTTGCTGGAAGGCCATAGTTTAGCCAAATACTGCCGGTTTTAATCTTTAATTTTGCTTTGAATATTGGAATATCAAACCTTAAGGGGACCACAAGCCCCTCAAAAACAAACCAGTGACCGACTAGGCCACTCTGAGTCATGGGTACCCAGTGTCTTTCCCAGTGGGCTTGCTCTTTAAGGTGTCCAGCGCCAGTGAGCTTTCTGATGTAGATTGCCAGGCCTTTCTCCCGAGGGGCCTCTGATTGGACTTGACCCACCAAACTTTCATGTCAGCCCAGTGCTTAAGTGAGTTTGTGGCACTCACAGACAAAAATAACACGGGACCATCTAACTCTTCAGATAAGGAAATGTGGAGGCCAAGCTCAGAAACTCATAGTAAATTAAGAAAAGTAAACAGGGTTACCACATAAGTAAGCCATATAAGAGGTCATTTTATGGTGCGAGAAACTATACCACCTGGCTGATGAAGAAAGTAGAGACCCCCCCCAACCCCCAAATTAAATTCAGGCTTGTGATAGATGTTGTTGTTGTTGTTATATGCTATCAAGTTGGTCCCCACTCACCCTGTGTACTCTGTGTACTCCCTGAGACCCTGTGTACTCAAGAATGTCACACCGTCCCGTCCGGCGCCACCCTCACAATCGTTCTTATGTTTGAGCCTATTGTAGCAGCCATTGTGTCCTTCCATCTTGTCAGGGGCCTTCCTCCTTCTTGCTGCCCCTCTGCTTTACCGGGGAATGTTGTCTGCTGATAAGACGTCCAAAGTAAGTGGGAGGGGGTCTCGCCATCCTTGCCTCTAAGGAGCATTTAACTGTACTTCTTCCACACAGTTTGTTCTCTTGGCAGTTCTTGTGCTTCCAATATAGCTCTTGTTTGTGATGGATGTTTTTTATCCTCTCTACTTGTCCAGAAAGTTAGGGATATGTATGTGTGTATGTATGTATATATATAT